TAAATCGGATCTCCCGCGAGTTACCAATGGACGCTTGAGTTGGCGTTATCTGGCCGTTCATACAGCCTGAGCTTCTCGTTGGTTTGTGATGGTTTGTGCTCGCATGATTTTTCGGACCCCATGGACCCTCGGCCTATCTGGCCACAGGGCAGCTTTGCGCGGATGCCCCGCGCGGAGCGTGCCCACGGGACTGCTTTTCTATGTGATCGTACATCGGTGTCCAGGCCGCAAGGGGGTGGACATGGATATGTCCGTCGCTCGTTATCCTCTCCTCGCCCTCGCTTCCCAGGCCCCACTTTGATTTGATCGATCCGACTCGGTATTGATGTTTGCCTGCTCGATCCGATCCGATTCCCATTGTTCTGACGATCCGACGCGGCCCGATGCTCACACGTCGTTGATGTGCATCCTGGTCCCCTCGGTGGCGCCCTCTGCTCCGCCAGGGGCGTGCAGTGCCGATGCAAGAAGTCTGCGCGGACCTCCGAATGCTTCTGCTCTCATGCCGCCTCGCCCTTCTCCAGATGTGTTCGTCACTCGTGATCCCCTCCTTGCCCCCCGCCCCCTATCCCCTTCCCTAAGCCCTCCCCTCCTTCCCCCGCCCCCCCCCCCCTCCCCCCCGAGCACAACTCACACAACCTCCCCCTCCCCTCCCCTCACCCCCTCCCCCTCCCCTCCCCTCCTCCCCTCGCCCTCCCGCCTCCCCCCCCCCCCGAGGGCAACTCGCCTCCCCTACCCTCTCCTCCCCTCTCCTCCCCTCGCCCCCCTCCCCCCCGAGGACAACTCGCGCTGCCTCCCCCTCCCCTCCCCTCCCCCCCCCGAGGACAACTCGCGTGACCTCGCCGTGGCGTTCGGTCCGGTGGAGGGCGCCGAGGAGCCACGCCTTTATTACACGCCGCTCCCCGCACGCCGCTCCGCCCCGAGCCCCCGTCTCTCTGCCCGCACAGAACCACTGGGGGGAGGAGGGGGAAGGGGGGGGGGGGGGAGGCCACGGGGGGGAGGGGAAGGGGAGGGGGGGGGGGCGTTCGCTCAGCACTGCGCCCGGGAGGCCTCGGGCCCTGGAGGAGTCCTCACAAGGCAACCCGCACAGCAGCGATGAGCGACTTTCTCCAAGGTTACCACCCGCTTTCTCCTCCTCTCCTCCTCCTCCTCCTCCTCCTCCTCCTCCGCCCTCCTCCTCCTCCGCTCCTCCTCCCTCCTCCTCCTCCTCCTCCGCCCTCCTCCTCCTCCTCCTCTCCTCCTCCTCCTCTCTTCCCTCCTCCTCTTCCTCCTCCTCCTCCTCCTCCTCCTCCTCCTCCTCCTCCTCCTCCCCCTCCCCCTCCCCCTCCCCCTCCCACGCCCGACTTTCCCATCCTTGGCCGCTTTCGCTGGTCGCGCCCCGCTCGCAACGTGTCGACGTGGCCCTCCAAGGCCCTTGCATCCTTACTGCGCATTCTGATTCTACGGGTCGGCTGTGTCTGATGAAGGCGGCGGTGCTATCCACGGTCAAGCCTCAACTGGTGTTACACAGCTTGTCAGACCTTGGATCGCTTGTCCAGGGGTTCCTTTAACATGCTCTCGCCGTAGCGGAGCCTCGGCAAGAAGTCGATGCCAAGAAGCAGCCGTTGAGCATGCAGGCTTCGGAGGCCCGTTGGAGCCTCCCGGGGGCCGCTGTTCCGGAGAGGGGGCCCTGGCCGCGTCCCGCCCAAAGTTGCGCCCGCCTGCGGGGGCGTCTTCGGGGTGCTAGAGAGTGCTGCCCCTGCTTGCCCGGGTCGGGCCGTTCTCTCGCCATGCCGCCGTGCTTCGACGGGGTCGAGGGTTTCCCCGGCGGGGGTGGGGATGATTTTTTCCAGGCCTGGAACTCCGTAAGAGGGCTCCCGCACGCATAGGGTTCCGTGGGTACATGTAGTAAGAGGCCAGCCTGCCAGCAGGTGCACCCACGGAAGTTTATGGTTCCCCGTTGGCCCTGGGGACCCGTGTGGCACAGATCGGAGCCGACAATTGGTGATACGTAGAGAGATGCACATACACATACATACGTACGCACCTACCTACCTACCTACATACATACATACCTACATACATGATTCAGTCCATACACATATACATACATGCAAACATACATATACACATATACGTACAGGCATGTATACATACAAACATACATACATGCAGTCATATATATATATATATATATATACATACACATACATACATTTACATAGACAGACAGACATGTACATACATATTCATATGTATACATCAATGCACACATCTTTCCTGCCCTGTCCTCGCTGAGCTCCCCTCCTTGCCTTCCCCACCCCTTTCAATTCTCGGCCTCGGAGCCGATGGCGGATACAACAGCGCAGACTGTGCGCTTTGCCGCCGGGCCGCGATGCGCCTAGGCGGGCTCTGTTTCCACACCTACCACAAGCTCAGGGCGTTGGTGGTTCACGGAACACCTGCAGACCCTTTGCAGCATCACGCCGCGGTGGCAGCCGCTGTGTACGCCATTGGCCAATCAGCGTGCTGGCGGACTGTTGCCCCTCAGGTACGGTCGATACACATACATACATACATACATACATACATACATACATACATACATACATACAGACAGACAGACAGACAGACAGACAGACAGACAGACAGACAGACAGACAGACATACACACATGCATACATGCATGCATGTACGCACACACGTACACACACACACGCATACATACGTACGTACATACACGCACACACGTACGTGCATACATACATGCATGAATACATGCATGCATGCATACATACATACACACATGCGTACAACCACACACACACATACATACACGCATACATACATACATACATACATACATACATACATACATACATACATACATACATACATACATACATAATTACAAGCATAAATGTATACATAGTTACATACACCTGTCCAGGCACACGCATACGTACATACATATATACAAACATAGACACATACATACATACATGTTCACATACACACATACGTACATGCAGGCATGCATGCATATACACATTCGTATTTCCGACGCACGCTGTACACACATATACGCTTACGTACAAACAAACATACGTACATCTATACATTCATACATGCGCACGTACGTACAGATATACATATATATATATATATGTATATATACATATAAGCATACATACCTACCTACCTGAATGCCTACCTACCAGCATCCATCCATGCATCCATACATACATACATACATACGCACGTGCGTACATCCATCAATCGACGCATCCATCCAGCCATACATACGCACGTGTATACATCCACCCATACAGTCATACAAGCATTCATGCATCCATCCATACATACATACATCCACCGATCCATCCATCCATCCATCCATCAATCCGTACATACATACGTACATCCATCCATCCATAGATACATACATAGAAGAATCGGCGTTCCAGGCCCTGGAGGGGGGAGGCCTTAGGCCCGTTCCCCCGTGGTGGTGCTAGGCCTCCTGGAGTTCTTTTTCCCGCCTCGAGTCGATGTCGATGCCCTCCGAGATGGCCAAGATGGGTCAAGATGGCCTCAGAGATGTCTCCAACACCACCAAGAAGTCCCCGAGACGCCCCAAGAGGCCTCCAAGAGGCCTACTTAGAGAGCCCCGAGAGGCAAACGTGGCCCCATTCCCTTCGGAAAACGTGTCTGTTTACCATACTCGCCTCTTGAGCTTTCACAGCGTCCAAGACGGCCCGAGAGGCCTCCAAGATTGCCCCAAGACGGCCCAAGAGGCTCCCAAGAGGGCTCCACGACGGCCTAAGAGGGCCCAAAGACGGCCGAAGAGGGCCCTGGTCGCCTCAATCAGGGGCCCAGGGGCCAGAGGGGGTCCCCGAGCAGACATTTGAAGCTCTCCGCCCTTAGAGGTCCCCAGGAGTCCCCAGGAGGCCCCAAAGAGGCTCTCCAAGAGGCTCCATGAGGTCCTTTAGAGACCCCAATGAAGCTTTAAGAGGCCTCCAACAAGCCCCCAGGAAGCCCCATAAGGCCCTCAAGGGCCCCCCCCAAGCGCCCCGAGGCATCCCTGACGATCCTCGACGCCGTCGCCGCCGCCGCCGCCGGCAGCCGGTTCGGCTGAGGCGCTGTCGCCGCAAAGGTTGCGGGAGGGCCCCACGGGAACTTTATGACACGGGCTTTCATCAAATGAAGGAACCCTCAGAGCCCCCCGATCGCGCTCACAAGGCTCCCGAGATGCCCCCAATGAACTCTGCGCGTCAGCTTGTGAATGGCTGGTGCGTGCTAGAACCTAAGCGCGCGCGAAGCGCGCGCGTGGTTCTAGTATACGTATATGTAAGTCTTCAAGGCTGCGTTGGCGCTTCGCGCCGTGCACCTTGGTCCTTGAATGTTTGCATGCAGGCAGACGGGCAGGAAGGTGAAACATACACAATCGCATAACTCATTGATGCCCTGTCGGAAATCGTCGTTGCACAAATGACATCCGTGATCCTTCCCTCATCTTGCGTTTTCCTTTTACTCATTCTCATCCTACCCTGCGAATGCTTCCCCATCTTCCTCAGCTCTTTTTGCGGAGGCCCCCTCCTTGGAGAGCCTCTTGGAGGCATCACGAAAAGTTTTAAGGGCTCCTCGGGGCCTCACGATTTGGAATGTTTCGGGGGGCGTCTTGGGGCCATCTTGGGCCGCCATGGGGCTCTCTTCGGGCCATTTTGGCTCCCTGTTTGGCCGTTTGGGGGGTTTTCGCGGACGCTTTGGAAGCCTCTTCGGGTCCCCATGGGCGGTCTCGGACGCCCGCAAGACCGAAGAACAGAGCATCCCCAAAATCCTACAAGAAGACGTGGGAAATCGACATTGTCCGAGTTTCGACAGCCTCTTCGGGGTCTTCTTTGGGTCGTCTTCGGGCGTCTGGTGGGTGTCCAGGGCCTCTAGGGGCCCTGGGGGGGGGCCGTTCGGCCACCCTCCTGACCGATTTGGGCCCGTTGCCTGGGCCCAGCAGGGGGTTCCAGGAGCTCCGGGAAACCTAAGTGACAATTTTCCGGGGCGTCCAGGGGGCCCCGGGGCCACGGATCCGGGGGTCTCGTTTCGGGGGGGTCCCGCGCATGTCGGACCAATCCCAACCGACTGGTATTAATTACAACCGACCTGGCCACTTCTCAACCGGCCAAAAAAACAACCAGTACCAATTACAACCAGCCATGTTGGGCCGACAATATGATGCTATGTATACAGCATTTTCGGACGATTCAAACATCAAACGGGCGTCATAAAAGTGCACATTTATCCTGGGAGTCAACATGGGTGCACCGAGTGGAACTGGTATTAGTTTACGGTCTGGCATCTGGGAACTGTGTTGTCTTGCAACAACAGTTCCCAACAACACATACACCTCAAAACAACAACCTGTACCCAACACGACAACATTTATTCACAACACATGCCCACACACCACTCACAACAACACATATCTAAAGCCCGAGTTGTCATCCTCCTTGTCATCGTCCGTTCCTTCCGTCCTGTTTTTCCTGCCTCCTCCCTGCTCCTCCTCCTCCTCCTGTTCCTTTTCCTTCTCCTCCTCCTCCTCCTCCTCCTCCTCCTCCTCATCATCATCATCATCATCATCATGAGTTTCATCATCACCATCATCACCATCATATTCCTCGTGCTGCATCCCTCATGTTCCTCCTCCTCCTCTTCTTCTTCTTGTTCATCCTCCTCCTGCTCCTCCTCCTTCCCTATTGTTCATCATTTTCCTTCTCTTCCTTTTCCTCCTCCTCATCCTCCTCCTTTTCGTTTTACTCCTCCTCCTCCTCCTCCTCCTCCTCCTCCTCCTCCTCCTCCTCCTACCACCCCCAGACTGGTCCCAGGAGGTCAAGCATGGCTCAAAACAGCACCCAGCAAACCTCCAAGAGGCTTCAAGACAGTCTTACAATGGCCCAAGATAGCTGCGCATGGCCCAGGAGTGTCTCCGACAGTCTCAAGCCGAGCAGGGCTCAAAACACCTTCCAAGAGGCACCAATAAGGCATCCGATCGTGACTGGACGGGCTGGTGGAGATACGCGACGAAACGTAAAACGTTCATGTGTTTGTTTGAACATGCATGTGATCTGGGAATGGGGAAGGTGGCGGCGGCGGAGGGCAAGGTGACTCGTTCGGCCACCCTCTCCCTCCCCATGGGTTCGGAGGCTCCCCGAACCCCCGAAGGCACGAGACGCTTCCATTGGAAGCGTCGTCCTCGGGGGTGGGGGGAATCCCGCGCCCGCGAGAAAGGAGGCGGGGGCCGAACGACTCGGCGGCGCCGGCGGCGGAGGGCAAGGTGACCCCGTTCGGCCCCGCTCTCCCTCCCCATGGGTTCGGGAGCCCCCCGAACCCCCGAAGGCACGAGACGCTTCCATGGGAAGCGTCGTCCTCGGGGTTTCCGCAATCTTGCGCCCGCAGGAAAGGAGGCGGGGGACGAACGACTCGGCGGCGGCGGCGGCGGCGGCGGCGGCGGAGGGCAAAGTGACTCGCTCGGCCACGCTCTCACTCCCCAGGGGTTCGGGGACCCTCCGATACCCCGACGGCACGAAACGCTTCCATTGGAAGCGTCGTCCTCGGGGATTTTGGGGATGCCGCGCCCGCAAGAGAGGAGGCAGGAACCGAACGATTCGGGGGCGGCGGCGGCGGCGCGGGGCAAAGCGACCCATTCGCCCATCCTTTCTCTCTCCCCATGGGTTCGGGGGCTCATCGGACCCCCGCAGGCACGAAACGCTCCATTGGAAGCGCCGCCCTCGGGGCCCAGAGAACCCCGCACCCGCGGGAGAAGAGGCCGAGCCGAACGACGTGGCGCCGGCGGCGGCGGAGGGCAAAGCGAATCGTTCGGCCACGCTCTCCCTCCCCATGGGTTCGGGGGCTCTCCGATACTGCGCGGACACGAAACGCTTCCATTGGAAGTGTTGCCCTTGGGGGCTCGAGAAATCCCGCGCCCGCAAGAAAGGAGGCGGGGGCCGAACGGCTCGGCGGCGGCGGCGCGGGGCAAAGCGGCTCGTTCGGCCACCCTCTGCCTTCGCATGGGTTCGGGAGCTCCCCGAATCCCCGAGGGCACGGATCCCCAAGGATTCCTCAGGAACAGGAGTCTTGTGGAACCCGCGGGAATCCTTGAGAAATCCTTCGGCAATTCTTCAGACATCTTCAGAAATCCTTCAAAGAATCCACAGGTTCCCTGAGAAATCTTTCAGAAACTTGTAGAATTCTGGAGGAATCTTTCAGGAATCCTCAGGTCTCAGGGATCCTCTGGAAGCCCCCAGGAGTCTTTCACGAATCTTCAGAAATCCGCAGGGATCCTTCAGGAGTCTTTCAGAAACTTTACGAATCTTTGTCGAGTCTTCAGAAATCGGTCGGGAGCCTTGGGAAATCATTCAGGAACCCTCGGGAATCTCCAGACATCTGTTTTAGACATATTCCGGAATCCTTTCGGGACCTTTCTAGGAATCCGTCAGGAACCTTCGAAAAGCCTTTGGAATCCTTAGGAGCCTTCAGGAATCTCTTAGGAATCCGGAGAAACCCGCAGGAATCATTCCAGGAGTCCGCAGAAATCTTTCAGGAACCCACAGGAATCCGGAGGAATCCTTCAGGAACCTTGCGAAATCTTGCCAGAAACCGCTAGAAATCATCAGACCCGTCAGGCATTCATAGGAATTCTCAGATGCCCTCAGGAATCCTTCAGAAATCCTTCGGAGATCCTCAAACATAGCCAGGAATCTTCAGAAATCCGACAGAATCTATTTTAGAATTCCTCGAAGTTATTTTAAGCAGGTTCCAAGGAACCTCTAGGGAGCTGGTAAGGGGCCTATCAGGAGCCTCTAAGGAGTTTCTACCGAACCTTTAAGGACCCCTCAGTCAAACCTCCCCAAAGCTTCCAGAGCGGATGTAATTGGTACCAGTTGGTTGGGATTGGTACCGAAATTGTTGGAATCCGTCCCAGTTGGTAGTATGTTATCCCATGTTCGGTGCCCCCCTCCCCGGTTTGGAAAACAGGGGAAAACAAACGCACACATTCATATATATATATATATAATTATGTATATACACATATATGTATATATACGTGTGTGTACACATCTGTCGATATATAAATATGTATACATAGATGTACTTACGTACGCATATGCATACATTTATACATACACAAACAAATATGGCAGCACCATGGTTTATTGTGCGCATATACCGCGCAACGCACATGGGGTCCACACCACGCACGGGGCTCAGCGCAACACACGGGGTGCCGCACACACGCAAACACCCACACACACACGGGGTCTCCCCACAACCCACACAACACACACCCATACACACATACACACACACACACCGTGTCCCACAACATGTGGCAGACAAATGGGGTTCAAAACGCAGAAGGTGTCACACACATGGGGTTGATGCAGACAAATGAGGTTCCAGACAACTCGAATCCCACACGCACACGCACACACATGCTGGTAAACTACGCACGGTTTTCCACGCGCATGGTTTCCCAGATTTTCCTCAATGATCGACGGTTTGGGGGCCAACGATCTGGGATTTCTTTTCTAGGCCAGATCGGATCGATAACCCGGGCACGCGGAATGGCTTACCAGTTGCCTCCGCTAAACTGGTTACCTGAGGGTTTGCACTCTTGTGGAGTGCTTTTGCATTCTTGCGCTGAGACCATGAGTCATAGTGTGTCGTGCTTCCCTGGCGCACTTCGAACGGAGTCACGTGGACGTTGCTCAGGCAATGCCTTATTGGCAAGAGAGGTCATGATGTAGCTGTTGCGGCTTGCGTTCCAGAGTTGTGGTCTTCTTCGGCAGCGCATACCGGTGAGTTTCGAGCTGGAGCGACATTGTCAGGACGCTGTGGTTTCGCAGCCCCGAAAACAAATCGCTGACACCAGGGAGAGCACGTCTTGCAGATATGGAACACCGAGGCTGACCGTAAAGATGATTTTGGCGGTGTTCTGCCAGACGAGCAGGTGGAAGTGGTGCAGTGGGATCACCACAGCAACTGCAGCACCTCAATTGTATTTTCCAAGGTGCCCCGCGCTGTCTCACGCGATATTGGTTTATGTTATTCGACAATGTTGGCAGCGCTCTATGACTTGGATGGGCGTCTTCCTCGCATTCCTCGCACGCTTCATTGTGTTTTGTTGCGCGCCATATGGTTCAGAGTATGCTGTTGCTGTTCTTGAAGCAAAAGGTGAGCACATCTAGTTGCAGCATGCTGCTCCTTGTGCAGGTGCCGATCACCCACATGGCCACCCAAAAGGGTAGCTTCTTTCTGGCTGCGGATGCTACTGGAAATTGCCAGCTCTTCAACAAGAGGAAGAACTTCGAGCTGAGATCCGAGGCGAGCAGCTGCCGAACCCTGCCAGGAAGCTGGATACACATAACGCGGCGAGCCTGGCCGAGAGCTGGATGCACATGTGGCCAGATGTCTCTCCAGCGCTCGGTCCTCGGATATTGCCGTGTAGGCTGGGCTTCCGGATGTGTGTCCAGCGCGTGGCTTGCGGATGTTCCAAATGCGAGTCTACCCATTTGACTTTCCAGTTTCCTGGAACCCCCTGACCCTGGATCCGCCGTGCTTTTTGTTTATGGATGAATGAATGTGTATATATACATATATATACGTGTGTGTGTGTGTGTGCGAACCCTGTTATTATTATTATTATTATTATCATTATTATTATTGTTGTTGTTATTATTATCATTATTATTGTTAGTATTAGTATTATTATGTGTATTCGTATTAATATCAGTGTTAGTATTATTATGATTATTGTTACCATTGTTATTACTAGTGTTGTTCTTTAATGATTCACATCTTCCGATTTGCAAGTGTGCTGGGCATGCATCTCAAACGATGCGAACCAATAGGTCGGGAATGTCCGCCTCAAAAAAGTTAATAAAGGTAGGGTGTCTATCTCCTGGCAGAAACAGTGACTGCAAAGTGGGGCAGAAGTCGCCATCAAAAGAGCGTGACAAGTAGGGCAGGAATTCTGGCCCGTCTTGCGAAATCGCCCAGAAAGTGGCGCGGATTCAGGGACAGGTGGGCGCGGGAATCAACTCTCCACTGCTGGCTGCGCTTGGAGCGGCGAGTTCACCAAGAAGGGGGGAAACCTTCAAAGTGGGGCCAAGCGTCGCCGACATATGACTTCGACTTCGACTTCGACGACGACGATGGCGACGACGACGGCGACGACGACGACGACGACGACGGCGACGCACGTCGACGACGGCGACGACGACGACGACGGCGACGTACGACGACGACGGCGACGACGACGGACGACGACGGCGACGACGACGGCGCGGACTCGGGGCCCTGCGGCAGGGGAGCCCCCTGCCCCGTGCGCGCCGAAGGCACGGCCCCGTCCCTCCAGGCAGGGGGCCCTCCCCCTGGGCCCGGGCGCCGCTGCGCGCCGCGGGCGAGAGCACTGGCGGCGGGCGCGTGCTGTGCGGCCCTGCTCGGAGGGAGCGCGGCGCAACCTCGGAGAGGTAAGCCCTCCCCCTCCTCCGCCTCCTCCTCCTCCGCCGCCTCCTCCTCCTCCGCCTCCTCCTCCTCCGCCGCCTCCTCCTCCGCCGCCTCCTCCTCCTCCTCCTCCTCCTCCTCCTCCTCCTCCTCCTCCCCCACGCGTCGCGAGAGCTCGAAGACGCGTCGCGGAAAGGCTGCACTAGCTGCAGTACGCGTTGCGGAGAAAAAACGGCTCGAAGAAGAAGATGCTTGCAGAAACGTAGATGTTCGGAGCTCCGTGCGGATTTCTTGGATCGGCGCTGGGCCCTCTTGGCGGGCTCCGCGCACCATGGAGGGGGGGTGGTCCAACGCCGATCCAGGAAATCCGAACGGATCTCCGAAAGTTTATGTTTAAGCAGTTTTGTTCTGGTCTACCTACAGGAGTTCTTTGCCAATTTTCGTCCACCGGGGGGCCTTCGCGGGGCCCCGGTACCGTCAGAGAACGGCTCGAGACGAAATACCGGTCTTAGGGGAAATGGTCCAGACCTCTGGGGAGCCGCCGTGGAGAAAAGCACGACGTCGGAGGTCTGCGGAAGGGCCCAGGGTCGGGTGTTGCCAGAGGTGTTCTTGGCCCCGGCTTTCATAACCTGGTGTGTGCGGCGTGGGCTTCATTCACTCGGCGGCGAGCGGGGGGAAGTGAGCAGGGGCGGGCCTTCTCAGAAGGCTCGGAAGTCCTCTGGCCTTCTAGGCCTTCCCCGAAGACGCAGAAAGCTTCTCAGAAGGTGCGAGGGATTCTGAGAAGTCCCCTCGCTTGCTCGCCGCCGGTTCGCCCTCGCTCTCCCGCACCCCGGCAGCCCCCGAAGAGCGAGGGTGGGCCGCCAGGATGCGCCGCGGGGCCACGCCTCCCGCGCGCCGGACAGGGCGAGCTCGCGTCCCCAAACCAGCCTCTCTCCCGACGCGTCCCGCCGCGCCAGGCGGCCTCGCGCCCGAGGTGCCTCCGGGAGGTGCGCGGTGCCTCCTGCTCCTCCTGCTCCTCCTGCTCCTGCTCCTCCTGCTCCTCCTGCTCCTCCTGCTCCTCCTGCTCCTCCTGCTCCTCCTGCTCCTCCTGCTCCTCCTGCTCCGCCGCCGCCGGCGACGACGACGACAGTGGTGGCGGCGGCGGCTTCTCCTCGAGATCGTCGTCGTCCTCCTCATCTGCCTCCTCCTTCTTGTCCTCCTCCGCCTCCTTTTCTTCCTCCTCCTCCTCCTCCCCCCTCCTCCTCCTCCTCCTCCTCCTCCTCCTCCTCCTCCTCCTCCTCCTCCTCCCCCTCCTCCTCCTCCTCCTCCTCCTCCTCCTCCTCCCCTCCTCCTCCCCCTCCTCCTCCTCCTCCTCCTCCTCCTCCTCCTCCTCCTCCTCCTCCTCCTCCTCATCCTCCTCCTCCTCCTCCTCCTCCTCCTCCCTTGTCCTGCCCGGACGTCGACGCCCCCGTCGGCGCAGGCGGTCCTTCACCCCGGGGGCATCGTGGATCTCGCGCTGGACAAGCTGTTCCTCTTCTCCGTCGGGAACCAGAGGAGAGCCTCTTTAGGGCTTGCCCTGAAGGGCGAACGGGAGCAGGGTGGACGTGGAATCCGAGCCCCCCGCACTGGCCTCGTCGCCAGGATATCGAGGGGGGAAATACGGAGTATGCAGGAGAGAAGGCGGAGGGTGGGCAGCAGGAGGAGGAGGAGGAGCAGGAGGAGGAGGAGGAGGAGGAGGAGGAGGAGGAGGAGGAGGAGCGTATCCCCACCAGTAGGTTCGGCCGTCGGTTCCCGTGCGCTAGGCAATTAGGCTCGCGCGTAGCCCGCCCGACCTCTGACGCTGCTGGCGCGCTCGCCTGCGGCCGCGACGAGAAAAAAGTATCCCCACCAGCGCGATCGCGGTGTCCAACCAGAATTCTTCGCCATTTTGGCGCTGCACTCCGCCTGGCGGCTCCCCTCCCAGTCGACGGCGCCCTCTTCTGAGCGGCAGCGAGGCCCGCCTCCTGTTTGTTCCTCCCTCCGCTGTCTCGTTGCCTCTCCTCCCTCCTCCTGGTGCGCCATTCGCTCGTGGCCCGCCTGCTGCGACTCTTTGACGGCGCCCTGGCGTCCCCCGGTGCGCTTGCGATGACAAAAAGTACAGTGCCGTTTTTAATACATGCTCCGCGTGTGGATCATGTATTCAAAAGGCAGGGGTTTGGCATGAAAAGCAACGAAGATTTCATGCATACATCTATGCATAGATTAATCACGTATTAAAACTTCATATGTGTATAGTTACACATAAAACCTATGTATCAAAAACTGCCCTGCACCCCCACCCCGGTATGCTCGCGGCTGGGCGCTCTGCGGTGCGCCCCGAAGCCTTCGACCGCCTGGCTCGATCCCTACCCGGTGCGCGCGCGGCCGCCCGCATCTCCCCCGCTCCGTGGAGGGCGGGCTCGACATCAGGCCCCGTCGGTGTCTGGCGACCCGGGCCTTGGCCCGTCGAGCGCCCGCGCGTGAGCTGGTCGACGGCTGGCGGTGCGCGGGATACGCCCGCCACCCGCGCGTCGACGTGACCGTTGGTCCTGGCGCGTGGTCCTCGTGGTGTTAAGTCGGGCCTGTCCCCCTGCCGGGGGATTTTCGACGAAAGATACAAAATGCCCCAAACATGCCGCAAAATGATCAACAAATATGCAAAACAAATAGTCCTCAGACTATGTTTGGATTTTAATTGGATTATGTTTAGGGTATTTACCTAACAGCGAAGACTGATAGGTTTCTAGTAGGGTCAAAAGAGAGCATCATGACGCCCCAGGGGGGTCTGGGCGCGATCCGGGGGAGGATGCCGGGGATTTTTTTTGCAAACAGTAACGCACTTCGTGGTCTTCGAGTTCCCAGAACTCCATTCCTGGGCATGATTTTGAATGCCCGGAGCCAGCTGTAGGCCACTTCGTGTTCTTCGAGTTCCCAGAACTCCATTCCTGGGCATGATTTGCATGCCCGGAGCCAACAGTAGGCCACTTCGTGGTCTTCGAGTTCCCAGAACTCCATTCCTGGGCATGATTGTGAATGCCCGGAGCCAACAGTAGGCCACTTCGTGGTCTTCGAGTTCCCAGAACTCCATTCCTGGGCATGATTTTGAATGCCCGGAGCCAACTGTAGGCCACTTCGTGTTCTTCGAGTTCCCAGAACTCCATTCCCGGGCCACATTTTGAATGCTGAGGCAGGCTGATGCTGAGGCTGAGGCAGGCTGAGGCAGGCTGAGGCTGAGGCCGAGGCTGAAGGCAGACTGAGGCTGAGGCTGAAGCAGGCTGAGGCTGAGGCTGAGGAGGCAGGCTGAGGCTGAGGCTGAGGCAGGCTGATGCTGAGGCAGGCTGAGGCTGAGGCTGAGGCTGATGCAGGCTGAGGCTGAGGCAGGCTGAGGCTGAGGCCGAGGCTGAAGGCAGACTGAGGCTGAGGCTGAAGCAGGCTGAGGCTGAGGCTGAGGCAGGCTGAGGCTGAGGCTGAGGCAGGCTGATGCTGAGGCAGGCTGAGGCTGAGGCTGAGGCTGATGCAGGCTGAGGCTGAGGCAGGCTGAGGCTGAGGCCGAGGCTGAAGGCAGACTGAGGCTGAGGCTGAGGCTGAGGCTGAGGCTGAGGCTGAGGCAGGCTGAGGCTGAGGCTGAGGCAGGCTGATGCTGAGGCAGGCTGAGGCTGAGGCTGAGGCTGATGCAGGCTGAGGCTGAGGCAGGCTGAGGCTGAGGCCGAGGCTGAAGGCTGAGGCTGAGGCTGAGGCTGAGGCTGCAGGCTGAGGCTGAGGCTGAGGCAGGCTGAGGCTGAGGCTGAGGCTGAGGCTGAGGCTGAGGCTGAGGCTGAGGCTGAGGCTGAGGCGGCAGGCTGAGGCTGAGGCCGAGGCTGACTGAGGCTGAGGCTGAAGCAGGCTGAGGCTGAGGCTGAGGCTGAGGCTGATGCAGGCTGAGGCTGAGGCAGGCTGAGGCTGAGGCCGAGGCCGACGGCAGACTGAGGCTGAGGCTGAAGCAGGCTTAGGCTGAGGCTGAGGCAGGCTGAGGCTGAGGCTGAGGCAGGCTGATGCTGAGGCAGGCTGAGGCTGAGGCTGAGGCTGATGCAGGCTGAGGCTGAGGCAGGCTGAGGCTGAGGCCGAGGCTGAAGGCAGACTGAGGCTGAGGCTGAAGCAGGCTGAGGCTGAGGCTGAGGCAGGCTAAGGCTGAGGCAGGCTGAGGCTGAGGCTGAGGCAGGCTGAGGCTGAGGCTGTGACTGCGACTGCCGTTGCCACTGCGACTGTCATCGCGAATGCGACTACGATTGCGAGAACAGCAGAATTCTACAACTGGATTCTCACCTAAATCGTAAGGGGAATGCTTCCAGATATGCTCCTACACATCGCTGTTAGGTTGCTTTGCCGGGATAATTTTCATTTTTCGTCGAAAATCCCCCTGTAGGGGGACAGGCCCGACTTAATCGTGGTGCGTCTACGATCCGGTGATCTCTGACCTCTGGCACGCCCGCGGTGTCGCCCAACCTGAGTTCCCCGCCATGTTGGCGTTGCGCTCCAGCTGGCGGCCCCCCCCCAGTCGACGGCGCCCTCCTCTGAGCGGCAGCGAGGCCCGCCTCCTGTTTGTTCCTCCCGTGCTTCCTCTCGTTGCCTCTTCCCCCTCCCGTTGCGTAGTTTATTGTGTAGCCCGCTAGCTACGACTCTTGGACGGCGTCCGGCGTCCCCCGGTGCGCTCGCGATCAAAAATGTATCCCCGCCAGCCCATCCGGAAACGATGTCCAGGCGAGTTGAGGTGATCAGGGAATTGCGGGAGTACAAAGGGGGACTGCCGAACTGTGCGAAGGAGGGAGGAGGAGAAGGAAGAGGCTGGATGGATGGATAAGGAAGTGGGGAGAAGGAGGATGAATAGGATGAGGAGGAGAAGGAGGAGGAGGAGGAGGAGGAGGAGGAGGAAGAGAAGGAGTGGGAGGAGGAAGGAGGAACAGGAGGAGGAGGGCAAGCAAAAGGACCAGAGGTCTCTTGGATGCCTCTAGGAGCCTCGTGGTGGCCTCTTGGGACGTCTTGAGGGTCTCTTGGCTGTCCTGGGGGGTTCTTGGGCGTCTTGGGTGCCTCGGGGGGGACCTCTTGGGGCCGCTTGGGGTCCTGTTGGGGGCCTCCTGGGGGCCTCTTGGGGGCCTATTGGGGCCATCTTGGGGTCATCTTGGGGCCTCTTGGGGCCTCCTGGGCGCTTCTTGGGTCCATCTTGGAGGAGATCCATCAAATAAGGGGGGGTCGCAATTGGCGGCCCCCAAGAGGCCAAAATGGGGCCAAAACCTGCTTGTAAAACCAATGATTTTGGCTTCCTTGCCGAGGCCGCTTTGGACGCCCTGACACCTCGCGACCGGACCCGTCCAGGTCCTGGGGAGGGGGAAGGGGGAGGGGTATACCCCAGCCCGACGAGGAAGAAGGGGGTTGGAAAAGGAAACGCTCTAGACCACCTTACGCCCTAAAGGGCTGGTGGGATTATGATCGTGATCTGGACATTGCGTTGGCTGGCAACTCCTGCATGGGCAGGGACCCACTGGCAAGATCAGGTTCGCTCGGGGAAACTTATCCCGCTCTTCGGCGGCAGCCCTCGATAAAGACATAACAACACGCTCAGCCCCGTCTTGGTAGGCGGCCGGTGCGGGGTTAAAGTGGAAGGACAGACCTCAGCGAGCAGCTGGGCCATGTCTACACAGTACCGCCCACATGCACTGCAAAACAACACTCCTAGGGTACAGTCGAGGTTGTGGGAAGAGTGAATGCGAGGGAGCATGCGATGACCGCGGGCCGCTTCGGGGCCCGCCCTCAGTGGAGGTCTCGCATGACATTCCCCTGGGCAGGATTCCACAAGTTTGTCGCGAAAAGCTTGGAATATTCGCCTTCACGCTGGACCTTTGGATTGGCCCGCAGCAGGCAACCTCTGCCGACGGAGAGCGTCAGCAGGAAGGGCCTCTGAGGACGGGGAGGCTGCCTGCCAGCGCGGTCGGCCGTGTTCCGAGAACATGTGAGGGCTACTGCTCGATTGATATCCAGGAGTCGAAGCACAACTCGGGAGGTCACCAAATCAATATCGGAAACGAGTTGTACACACTCGGGGTCTGCCTCCCCTTCGGCGGCGGCCACACCACCGAAATAGTCCGCACACGCGTTAAAGCAATGCTCGACCTCCGAGAGGCCCCTGACAACCCTCATGGATGCCTTGGAATGGGCTTTCGTCCAGACCAGTTCGACCTTCCCCGATCGATTGTCAGACGACTCCAGATCAGACGCCAGAGGTCGAGCATCGGCGAGCTGTTAGCGGTCAGAACCCTCGGCCGCCTGAGGGCCCGCACAAGGGGGGGAGGGGTAGTCCGAGGTTGCCACCTCGTCACCGGCGCTGCGTTCCAGCAGGATCAGGAAGACGAGCAGCTCTGCCCTCGGAGTATACGAAACTGTGATCAGAAAGATCGCCGCATTAGCGGCAGGCCCCGAAGAAGCCGAAGGCCCCCTGATGGAAGTAGCCGGGATCTTCTTCATGCTCACGGCCCTCTTCCTTCGTTTGGGCTGCTGGCGGCGCTGGCGGCGCCTCTTCCTCCCTTCGCGGGCGCCGGGGCGCCCTCGGCGCAGTCGCTCTCGCAGGCGCCTCTTCCCTGGGGTGTGCTGCTTCGTCTCGCTCCTGGCTTGCTGCTCCAGCGTCCGCCCGCAGCGCAACCCTCCTCCTCGCTCTGCGCTGGCTGCGTGCAGTCCAAAGGCTTGGCACGGAGCGCAGAGGCCGAGTCCGCGGTAGCACCAGGGCTCTGCCTCCCGCTGCGTGCTCGTGGGCACATCTTCCTGGGGTGCATGCGCGCAGATGCCACGAAGTCGGTGCGCGGCGCAGGAGCCCGCGGCTGCCTGGGCTCCACCAGCCCGTGCTGGCCAGTCCTGGCAGCCCTCCTGGTGAGCTCGCGCGCTGGCGTGGGCACTTCCCTCTGGCCGCCCTGCTGCACGGCAGGCAGGTGGCGTGGCCGCCGTCGGAACGATCATCACCAGGAGCGCTATCTTCATCGAGCCTCACAGCGGCTCACGACCACATCAGCGGAGCCGCCAACATGTTGCCCACGTGCCTCCAGAGCCATCGAAGCTCCACGTACCTCCTTCGACCACCTGCCCCTGATGCGAGACTCCCCAACCGAACGTGAGTGAGGATGGCGGAGGGATGCGATCCATGGCGGCAGCCAAGATAGGTAAGCCACGGGTCCAAAAAGCGCTCTCTCGGGGCAAGCAGGTTCGGCATCGCGAACGTCTGGACATGACGAATCGAAGTCGTGCATCGGGTTCATGTCGATGGTCGCGTTACAACTGCTTCATCGTCTCCTGTGCTGCTCCGCAGCACTCACACACGCCAGAGGATAGATAGGCAGCCTGCCGAAGCCGTGCTTCAGGCCAGCACCCAGATGTAACGATACAGCATAACAGTATGGTATCCTGATCGGCTCCGTTTTTGACCACCTCATAGAGTATGCGAAAAACCACGGTGAAGTCAACACTCCTTTCTAACCCCATTCCGCAATGATGCTGCGCGGTGTCAGCAGGGAAACCGTCTCACGAACGCGAACGCTTTCCTCCAAACGAAAAAGAAGTCTGGGTCCCCAACGTGCAGGACCCCAAGGTGGCGCAGCCCACCTCGTAAGCGAATCGGGCGCCCACCCCAGGTCGGGCAAAGTAGTAATGACATAAGCTACAGGACCCTTCGCGGTCCTCCAACGACGGTTTGCAGGCCGTGCGAGAAGACGACCACGAATGTGGTCCCAAGCCCTCGCAGCACCCTGGCGTATACCAGGAGATATGCCGTGCCAAACGTTAGCCATGCCATGCAATTGTTCACGCCGCAATCGATAGGCAGGGTCTTCATAATACTGATGTTGAATAGCAAGCGCCATGGACGTGCAACACCCCGACGACCAATATCCTGAGCATGTCGCGGCGGAGGCACGAAAGGACTGAGCCTCGGCCAGGGGAAGGCCGATAAGACTGTGTCTCCAGGCTCCCACGCTGAGGACCCTAGGCTTGAACAGCTTCCGAGAAAGCCCACAATGTCTCGCCAGATGTGTTATAACTTCCGAGCCCTCCGAAAAGCCATTCGCCTCTTGCGTCTGAGCTTGGTGGCACATCGCCTCCTGCCCGCCGTTGTTCTCAAGTCCTAGATCCTTGGTCGTCTCAGAGGTCTCCACCGGGATCCCCAAGTTCCTGAGCTCCGCTTCCAAGCTCCTGGCGAGGTCAGCGCTGAACGTGACCATGGCGCTCTTGATGGAGACCTCGCGGCCTACGGACTTGACGTCCCGAAAAAAAGTGGGGACAGCAAGAGGAGAAGCTCTCACGATATACCTGCAGTGCCATGCATGTACTGTGTGATGTCTTGACGGGCATGTGTGGGATTTGATGATGCGCGCGATGCAACACGTCGTGCAGCAAAGCCTTGGCCCGCAGCATCGACGGAGTGCATCCCGCCAGCACGGAGTTGTCAGTGGGCGTGACTTGAGATTGGGCTCCCTCCGCCTCGGGAAGCCGCTGGCACGTGCGGATGAGGAGGCCCAAGTGGAGCAATTGCGGCGGGCACTCCATCGTAAGTGCAAGGTGGATCAATAATCCGACGACTACACTGTCCGAACAAGTATCCATGCCCAGTGCGCAGCCAGAGACTCGAACCCCAGGAACCCAGCAACCTCGTAAGGAACGGGCCTCAGCAGCGCACTTTGCAGGGCCGAAGAGCCCTTGACAGCACAACCCCAAAACACAGTGTGATAATGGTTCCACTCATCTATCATACCGCCTCTCGTGCGACAGCACTCTCGGTATGCAGTTTCACATCTAGATGCAGCCCGTTTAGCATTCGCATTCTTGAGAAGCATAGCCATTACGCTGAGCATGCATTGGACGGGGGAGCGTGATCTCATGCTCAACACGGGAACGCGCTCAACACAGGAGAAGATTTGCACCACCCCCTCGAGCGCACGGCCAGGGAGAGAAAACCGTTCGCGATGAGACCATTGACCAATTCCAAGAGCGGTATTGGCAGACACACGTTTGAGCCGGGCCCCGAACCTCCAGATCCGGGGTCTCCAACGGCAAGCCGCGAGGACGCCTTGAGCTCCTGGAGGGACCCATTGAGGAGGTCCCGACGGGTATCGAAGGGGGCCCATACCCCAGAGTTGTTCCTTATGTTGCATCATGTCAGCATGTGCTTGCTTTCTATTATCGAAACCTTTGAAATACTGAGGAGAAGGAGTGAGGCGGAAGGAGATGCTACAAGCACCGTCGCTCAGACTTGGCCGACTAACAGAAAGGAGGACAGGGGTGAGGATGATGATAATGATGATGATGATGATGATGATGATGATGATGATGATGATGATGATGATGATGATGATGATGATGATGATGATGATGATGATGATGATGATGATGATGATGATGATGATGATGATGATGATGATGAGGAGGAGGAGGAGGAGGAGGAGGAGGAGGATGAGAAGGAAGATGAGGGTGAGGAGGAGGGGAGCAGGAGGAGGAGGAGGAGGAGGAGGAAGAGGAGGAGACGGAGATAGACGAATGGAGGGAGGAGGAGGAAAAGGAGGAGGAGGAGGAGGAGGAGGAGGAGAGGAGGGGAGGAGGAGGAGGAGGTGGAGGAGGAGGTGGAGGAGGAGGAGGAGGAGGAGGAGGAGCTGGAGGAGGAGGGGAGGGGGAGGAGGAGGAGGAGGAGGAGGAGGACGCGGAAAAGAAGAAGGAGGTAGGAGGAGGAAGAGGAGGCGGAGGAGGAAGAGGAGGAGGAGGAGGAGGAGGTGGAGCGTCCCTCTGATCCTGCCCAGACGAACTCCCGCACTGTGCAGAGAGGATCTGCTCTTGCTGCTCCGCGGCCCTTCTCCAGAGCGTCGCGCGCGCTTCTCTGACGATCGTGGCCGCGGCTGATTTGAGAGTGTCTAGCCGCATCTCATCCTCCCCCCTCTTCCTAATGTCTGAGCAGATGTCACAGCAGTGTAGCTTGGCTTGGCCCTGATGAGCGCACAACTGCATGCACTCGTCCTCTCCCCCTCCAGAAGAGAGCTGCGCGTTGCCTTCCCTCCCAAGAGCGCTGCGCGTGCTGCTCCAGTCCTCCAGCATGCCGTTTTGCTTGACAGGGCCATCCGCGTCTCGTCCGTCCCGGACCTCAGAGAAGTGCTGACGATCTCCGTCGACCTGAGCCAGGACATCATTCACCACCGCTACCACCCCAGACCTCTTATTCCGAGCATGTTTCCTCGATTTCGGCTTTTGGGGCCCGTTATCGAGCATCAGGACCATTAAAAACGGATCCGAGGCGGATGCGGACAACTACCCAGGGAAGGGGTCGGGAATTTTGGGCCCCCGTTGCCATTTTGACTCTAGTTCACGAGCGGGTTAGCTTGGCAGCATCCAGATCGAGGTCGTCTTGGCTGCCTCATCTGTTCCCCTTCCGTCCGGCACTCCCTCGCTGACCTGCATGGTCTGATCGGACCCCGTCCTCCTCTTCTCGCCCTTTTGCTCGCTTCTAGTGCATCCCACCGCTCGCTTTGACCGGCGCCTGACCGTCGCGCACACCCTGGCGCCCGCGGGCTTACAACAGTTTCCCTCGCGTCCGACTTTCATCGGCTCCGCGCGCCCATGCTGAGTGGCGCCGTGGCGTGCCCACCAGGACGCTTTCCCGGACGAGTGTAGACTGGTTCGACGCACTTGCTGCGTGTAGTCCGACATCGACAAGTCCACGACGTTGGCTTGCTGAGCTCCTCTGTCAAAATCACGTGTTTTAGCGAGTGCCTTTTCTATGGTGTTGCGGTGCCTCACACTCCGCCAAGGCTCGCACGAAGGTACCACCCGTACGACCTTTCTATTGGATACGCTCTTCGGCAACGGACACCACTGCGATATGACCGTGGAGGACCTGGCGTTGCAACCACTGGCCGAGGACCAACCGCGGCAGATTGCAATGGCGCCGCATCCGCGCGAGCGCCCCCCGCACGACTTTCCCCTTCGGCGTGCCGTCTGGCGACGACCACCACTGCAGGGTGGCGTCGGAGGACCCAGCGCGCGGCACTCGACCTGGCCGAAGACCAGCTGGGATACGGCGCGTTGGCGGCTCGAGACTGAGCATGCCCGTTTTGTTCGCCTGGGGGCAGCCACTCGTGAACGGATCGTTCCGCTCGGTGATCTCAGACTATGGTCCTCCTCCTCCTCCCCCTTCAACCTCCTCAACCTCCTCCTCCTCCTCCTCCTCCTCCTCCTCCTCCCCATCTTGCCTTCCATAGCCATTTTGGCTCAAGATGTCTTTGTCCCTCGGGCAAGAAGCGGATACCTCTAGTCCGAGGCTAGCCGCTAGCCCCCGCTTCAGGCAACCCCAGTCGAGCTGCGAGCTGCTGGGGCCAAGAGTCTGTCTCCTCGGACACGATCCCTCACCTCGCTGCACCATGGGCCCTGTTGGATGCGACCGTCCGCACCCTGCAGTCATTCGTATCGCCGACCTTGGTGCGGATGCTGATGCCTCGGCGGGCCAGAAGCGCTCGGCATCGCGCAGCGGGGGGAGCTGCGGGGCTCGTCGGGCAGCCCGTGCTCGCCATCAGCCCCGTGATGAAGCAGGTGCCCCTCCCGCTGCCGCTCGCGCTCGCCCTGCTCGTGCTGGTGATGGTGGCCGCGTGGCGGGGTGGGATGGTCCGCCTGCGGCTGCGCCCTCCGCTTCGCACCGCGGGGCGGACCCAGCCGCCTCCGCAGGAGACTCCACCCATGAACAGCTCGAGCAGCTGGCGCACGACTTCGACGAGGCAGCGACGTTCCCCGACTCTTTGTCCCAACAGGCGTCGCAGGCCGCCCCCGCTGGCGCCCCGCAGGGAGGCCACGCGGCTGCCAGCAGTGGAGCGGGTGCTCAAGGCCCCGACCCCTGGCAGCAGTACCTGGCCGCGGGCGGCCACCCCTGGCGCGTGCACGGGGACTCCCGCCCGCGCTTGCCGCGGCGGTGGCAGTGGCCCCGCGGCCCTCTGCTGCTGCTCCTGGCCCTCGGCAGCTGCCTGGTGCTGGTGACCCTCCTCAGACGCAACGGCAATTCCTCCAGAAGTTGCAGGCGGCCATCATCAGCAACCCAGACGCCTCCCTCTCCGCGGGTCTTGCCCAGATCTCCACGGTCATGGAGGCCCGCGTCGGCGCCGTCGAGCAGCTGGCTGCCGCCATGGACCAGCGCGGCCATCATGGAACAGCAGTTGCGTGCAGACATGGCGAAGCTCAGGGAGGGGATGGGCCTGCTGGCGAGTCCTGCGGGTCTCGACTGGGGCAGGGGGCCCGACTCGGCGGCGGTGGCCTTGGGGTGCAAGGAGGACCTGCCGAAGGACACCTCCACCATTGACAAGATCTGGATCGGTGCGCCGCGGTGGCTGCTTGCCAAGACGCGGCGACATGCGCAAGTGCACGGCGAGCTTCGCGAACTCTCCGCGTCCAGGACATCTCCGGCCGCGCCGCGCCGCCGGTCGCCCGGTCTCCTCGGCCGCGCCGTCGGGGCCCCCTGCCGCGGGCATCGTCGCGCCGATCCCCGAGCCCATCCTCGACCACCCTCCTCCTCCTCCTCCTCCTCCTCCTCCTCCTCCTCCTCCTCCTCCTTTTCCTCCTCCTCCTCCTCCTCCTCCTCCTCCTCCTCCTCCTCCTCGTGCTTCGCGAAGCTGGCGCGGACGCGCGAGGGGCATGTCCAGCTGCAGGAGAGCCGTCGCCCCCCGACCGCGCCCATGTCCACACCGAGCTGCTGCAGCGCGCGGCTGCGGCGGCGCGGGGCCCCTTTCTTGGGGGCGGCGCTGGCGGCGAGGCCCTCGACGCGATGATCTGGCGTCAAGTCGGGCGGGCTGCCCGGCGCCGAAACGTCGCGGCGGCGGAGCGCCTCCTCCATCGCCACCCCCGGGCGGCACGGGCCCTCGAGCTCGAGGGCCTGGCGACGGGCCGCGCGCGCGCATCCGCGACCCCGCGGAGTTCGCCCGTCGCTATCGGCTCGCGCAGCACCGCGAGATGCAGGCTAGCCTTCGCCGTCGACAGGAGCAGATCGGCGCGGAGCCCAACGAGCACGCCAAGGCCACCTTCATACGCCACAGTCGGTGGACAAAATATCGCAAATTATTTGAGCATTATGATAAACAGCGTGCCAATTAGGATCATATTCCATCGATCTCTGAGGACCCCCCCATCCCCACATTTCAATGCTGACTTGCGTTATTTTGTCCACCCGGACTTGGGGTGCTCGCTTGGCGCCAACATTGAGATGTAGGGGGCGGGGATTGGTCGTCGAGGTGGCGCCGCAATGTAAGTGCAGCCGCGCGCGTTCAGGAGCAACTTGCAAAATTTCGTCGTCCCACCGCAGCAACGTGCTCTGCGGCGTCGTGCGGCGCTGTGGGCCCCTTCTTCGGCTCGGCGCTTCCTCGGCGCCATCGAGCTGCCCGACGGCATGGCCAGGGCGGAGCTGGAGGTGATGAGGGCGCTGGGCGACTATTGGCGCGGGGTATTTGGCGACGACGACCCCGAGTCGAGGATGGAGCACGCGGCCCGCCGACTGCGCCTTCTCGTGCTGGCCGCGCACGCATTCGGCCGCGACATGGAGATCCACGTCGACATGACAGGGCATGGCCGCATGACCTGGGCGCCGCGGTCAGAGGTGCGAAGGCGCGGAAGTCGATCGCCCACGTCTTCGAGATGGCGCGCCTCCTGGCCAGCCTGCGGCCCAAGCCGACCAAGGGCCATTCCGTGCCCTTGGGCGCCCCGCTCTCGGACGATCTTAGCACCGAAACCACGCGCTTCCTGTCGGGGGCCTGCAGCGACTGGCAGGACTTCCACGCCAGCGACGTCTTGGAGCACCTCGGAGCGCCGCTCGGCCCCGGCGCCGACCCGGCCTCCCAGTGGGGGGTGCCCTCGCCAAGCTCCGTGAGAGAGTGGGCGAGGTGGCTCGCTCGAAGGCCGACGTGCACTCGCTGGCCCTGCTCTGCGGCGAGCGCTGCGTCTCCGTCCTGGGTTACAAGGCGCAGATGCTGGAGCCGCCGACCGAGCTGCGGCGGCTGGAGAGGGCGCCGCTGCCCGAGCTGCCGCGGCTCCCAGGCGCCTTCCTGGTCGACGGCGAATGGCGCGAGCTCCGGTCCGTCGGCGGCCCGCGCCTGATGTCGGCCTCGACCTGGGCGCAGGCGCGCCTCGTCAGGGCGGCCGCGACGACGTTCCAGGCCGTGGCGCGAGGCTGCGGCCCTCTGGGAGGCGGCGGAGCTGCACCTGCCGATGGTGCGCTGGCTGGGCGAGCAGCCATGGCCGAGCTGGTGGCGCTCTGAGGCCATCTCGATCACTCCGCAGCGCGCGGCGCCCCCCATCGGCGAGACTCCGAGGGCGAAGGCAGCGGGGGCGCTGCGGCAGGCGCAGCAGGACGCCCATGAAGCAGGCAGCTCGGCGCCCCGTGTGCGCCCGCAGGCAACCATCTACTCCTCTCTCCTTAGATCGTCCCTCGCGTCCCCTCCTCGCCTTCATGCCCGTCCGGCCTGTAGATTGCAGCGCTGGTTTGGGGTTCGCGCCTCGGACGTCGCGGCGATTGGCTGGTCGGCCGTTGCCTCGGCGATGCTTCGCCTGCCGCCCTCGTGGCGCAGCGCTTGCATTAAGAACTGGGGGGGGGGGGGGGGGGATCGCGGAGTCGAGGGTGCGTAACCCATATCGCAGTTGCCTCTGGAGGGGCTCGGACTCGCTGAAATAGCATGTATGTCACTGCTGTCCCATGTATACGCTCGCCCGCAGGCAGCCCCTCTTGGCCCTGGGACTGACCCACCCCGAACCCGACACCTTTTCAGTTCATTGCTTTTTCATTTTCAGCTTTACCGCACTGCCCACCAAGAGAGCAAATCCCAGGCGGCCCCGCTTCCTGCGGAGGTGGCCCGCTCGCTCGAGAGAGCTGCACTTCAGGCAATCGAGCTGCCCCATCGGCAATGGCCGCAGGAGGCCCCGCCGTCGTCGAGCGTAGGTGCGAGAGGAAACGTCGTGCGCAATATCAAGACCAACAGCCTGACCTCCACAGGACGCGGGTCGAATAAGCGCTACATATTCGCAGCGCGCCAAAGGATGAGCAAAGCAGAAAGGACTACAGGTGTGCAGCTGCGCCCGCGCGATGGAGGGATGAACGCTGATGCCATCAATTGGGAGCGCGATTTAGCGGATCTGGAGTCCTCGCCGAAAGTAGTGGAGGGAGAGAGAACGCGACTCAACCTGCCAAGGCGGACCTGGATGGACATATACGACATCTAGAGAGGGCGCCAGAAAGGAGGGCCACGCCGCAGTGGGGAGTCTATGCAGGAGCTCTGTAGCAATTTATTTCGCCGAAGTACCATGTAAAAGAGGGCGCCAGAGGGAACGGATGAGAGGGGCGCATCACGCTTGCAGGATCCTTGCGCACATACCAGCAGTTCGCCACTTTGATACGTGAGACGGACAGGGTGCCGCCCAGTTTCTTGCGACCGCAAGTGTTGACACAAGCTAAAGACAACGGAGAGCCAAGCGTACAAAAGGCACACGTCTACTTCATTGATTCGATTCGCGTGGCATGTGTTGGCACGGGCAGCTTGCTACGCCGAGCAACCTCAGCCTAGGCCTCAGTCGTGTGCACGTGGAGGGATTGCAGGAAGAAGGCGTGAAGGCACGCTGCTAGTACTAAATTCGGCAACATGGAGATGTCGTGATCTAAAGTTGAGCCGCGCGCCGAGCAATTTCGACGGGGCCAATGCATTTGCAAGCACGCAGAGAGAATACTTACGACAACTACACAGCAAGCAGCAGTGCACGCACAACTTAGAGCTGGCCACCCAGGCGATCGACCAGCTAGTAGTGCACGCCGAGGGGATAGACGGGGGCATCGATTTCAAACTTGCAAGGGGGGCGACGGTGGGACATGCAAAGGCAGCTGGAGGTTTTGTTATTGCAGTTTACATGCCGCAAGTCAGCAAATGGAATAATCAACTATCGGAGCACGACCACGCGCGCGCGGGCGGCTGCGGTGCAGGAGCGCGCTGGAGGAGGAAGGACTGGAGGAAGACTGCAACGAGGAGGACCTGGGCATTGGATTGTACGTGGACGGCATATCGGGAGTGCACGTACATGCATATGAATCGTCACCGCGCGCGATGGAGCTACAGCTAAACTGGGCAACGAGCAAGCTGAGCGCGAGCATCGGGAAGACGGGACACAAGCCAAACGAAGGGAAACACATCACATCGCGCACGTGATTGACAAGTGGGCGCTTGCAGCGGCGAAGAACGTAGCAGCATCACAAGCAGCATTAGGTGCAGTCGTGCGAGAAGCACGTGCCCAAGGGCCCACGCTGGCATGCGACGGCAACCTTCGAGCCGAATTGCGAGGGCGAGTTAGAGCGGCCACGGCTGGATGGAGGTCCTTAGACAAACTGCGGTCAGAGCCTGCCCCGATGAGAATGAGGAGGTGACTTTACATTGCCCACGTACAAGGCGCATGCTTATCAGGCCTGGCAGCTTATGTTATGCCGCGCAGCTTTACAGACAAGCTCGGCTGCGTGCGCATCAGCTCCTTGAGAGTGCTACGCCGCGGCGCGACAGATGAGATCGACGGCGAAGTCCGAAGTGAAAAGCACGCGCGGGTACTCGAGCAGCGCAACATCGAGCGCTGCGGTTGGGTCGAGGATCCAGGGAATCAGATGGTACCAGAAAGCGTCTCGGGACCCCCGACAGCATTCGCAGGTCTTTGCAGGGGTGCATGGAAGCGCGCGCATGGACCTCAGGGTAGACCGACCTCGACTGGGACCCGGCGGGAAGCTCAACGGACATGGCACGTCGTGGGCCCGCCAGTTCCAGGGGGACTTAGAAATTTTCAGTAAGATACAGCCAGAGACGAGGCTTGCGCAGGCGCGGAACTCCAGGAAGGGGTTGCTGGATGTTTGCAAGAACGAATGTTTCAGAACGGCGGTTTGCATGAAATGGCCACAACACATCAGGCACTTGTTTGGCGGGCGCTACGAGGAGGATGAGAGGAGGGAGGCCCGCGGAGGGATCGGGCACGTGGAACAA